TCAGGTTCATACCATTTTCAGTCCCTGGCATTGAGACACGCTGCCAGAATTAACTGAGGTTTGTGCACAGCTAGTCACCCATCCTGAATTTATCTTGAAAAACCGGTAAGAGGTTGCATCTGGGTGAAAGATGGCCTATCTAGTTTGGCTGACTACTTTTCTGCCTGTTCCATTGGTTAGTGTGGTCAGTTCACCCCATGCCTTTTCCTGGCCTATGTTATGGTCATGGATATCTTGCTGTATCACTGCAAGGCCTATATTTTTGTAAATGCTAAAATTCACTTCAGCATGTGGCTTTTTTATACTTCATCTTGAGGTTGTGATATGGCAGCACCCTGACACTGAAGAAAAAGATGGAGTGAAAATGAAAGGGTATTTCAGCACACAAATATTTACAGCAAAGCCACACATTATTACTTAGTTTGGGCTTTTCTAACACTGTGGTATGTAAGGAAGGCATCCTTCTTCAGATTCAGGCTGCCATTTCTGTGTGACTGTGATCTGATATGAGTATGTGGGAGTGTAATGCAAAGTGTGGATGAACTTTTCTTGGCTACCTTGCTGCTTAAGAGTTTCTTTCATCACAAAACCTCAAATTAAGGTTTAGTTCATAAATGCCTCACTAATGTCTAGTAAATGGTTATTGGATCTAGCTGCATGTGTTAATAACTTATGAAGTATAATACATCCATGATACATTTTTAATAGGTAAAACATTATTACAGCAGAAAGAAAACAAGTATCTTACCTTTATTTATAATATGATAGCTTACAAGAGTTGAGAAGAAGTCCTTCTTTCATCATGTAATTATCTGTGTACGTTGGAAGGGTGAACGGGGATTTGATTTCCACTGAAATCTTAGGTACTGGCATCTACTGGAAATATGATGATGACTAGATGAAGAAGCAGTCTATGCTAGGACAGAAATGCCAATTATTCATATATCTTAAGACCCGAAAGGGCCTATTATGATAATTTAGTCTGACCTTCTGTATAGCATATGGCTTATAATTTCACACAGAAATTCTTGTTCTGAGCTCCTAACACATTCCTGCGCATTAATGGAATAGTTTTAATAAACCAAATCCTGGAATCTTATTTTGGCACAGAAAAGAAAGTGAGAGTCAATAGAAGGTACAAATACCTCAGTCCTTTCCCTGTCCAACTGAAATCAGTGATAACTTCACTTTAATACGTATCAGAAGTCAGCAAGTGATTTCAGAGCACAACCCTGTATTAATATTCTGAAATCCTGAGGAATGTAGAAAGTATATGCCAAGTTTAAATGTTGTAATTTGTTTTAAATTGATGGAGAGCATTGTAAAATATTACAGCTTAGACTACCTGTAAGTGGTTCATTAACATTCCTTGATTTTATTTCTCTAGAAATATCACGTCTACCGCCTTGGAGACAGTTACAGCATACCTGTTTTACTCTTAGTGTGCTGCTTCTACTCTGAATTTGTGCTTCTATTTTGGCATTGCTTGTCTGTGCCAGAGAAGGTCTTTTAGTGCACACAGTGCCACCGGCCTGCGACGCTGAGAGCCGCTTCGGCTTATCTGCAGGGTAATTCAGATCTTCCTAAGCCTGAAGTTCTCCATGGTTTCTCTTCACTTACTGCTGTCACTGGCTTATTTCTCACCTCAATTATCTGACTTATGTTCATGCAGTTGAGCCTGAACAAACTTTCATACTAAAGATGGGTTTTTTTCTGTTTCCCTTTCCAGTTTTCATCTTCTTGGTTCTTTTTTCTTCTTTAGGGGCAGGGAAATGGAGAAAGAGAAGGCAATTTGCAGTACAGTTTTGTGATGTGGGCAGATGAACAACTTTTTACTGCAGCACTATTTTTGCTGTTGAGCAGTGGATATGTGTACCTTAACTATTCCTGCAGCAGCGAAAGAACAAGAAAGATAGTTGTTGTTTGTATTCCTCTCTCTCTTTTACTTTCTATCACTGTATCGCAGTCGTATCTTCAATTTAGAAGAGCTAAGTTCATCAAAAGCGTTATCAAGTACATTCAGTATGCTGTTTGGCTTTTAAATCTTTTTAGGTGTCAAGATGAACAAATAGAAGATTGTTGTGGCTAAAAGAAATTGAGCTGTAAATTTTCTGTTGTGTATGTTTGTTCTGGGCTGAATCAATTGGTGTGATTGTGACTGAGGCTTGTGATAAAAAAAAACTACAAAATACAATCCTCAGACGGGCCTGTGAATTCAATTGGAGAAAGTGTGATTAGAGTCTTAACTTTACAAAACTCATTAACAATAGCAATAGAAAACCTTTATACAAAGGGAAGATCGATCATTTATGGTTGCTCATGATAATACCCTTATTTGTATTCTAAGTTCAGCTCTGTCCTGATACTTTGTAAATTACATATTAAATATAAAAAATAAATCAGCAAGGAATATTGTATACTTTCTAGGAATTTTTAACAATGCCTAGAAGTTTGGTTTCCAAAACTTGATTTCTAAAACTTATAGAAAAAGCAATATACATTATTTTAGCTAGATCAGTAGCACCAAACCTTGGTGAAAGCAGACACCAGGAAGACCTGCATTTTTTTTTTTAATCTGGTGATGGAGGAGGCCAAGTGCTCCAAAATTCCATACTTTATGACTATGCTTCTAACCTTATTTCAGTCTAGTTTTTAAATATTTTGCAGTCTTTATTGCAATGATAACATATGAAGAAGGTATAAAAAGACCAGACTGTCAGTGTAGGTGTATCAGGCCAACAATGCTCAACATCTCTGAAGGACTTTGTCCATAAATAGTTGTGCGTTTATTTCTGTACCCATGGTATTTAGAATGAATATGGGGGAAAAAAATGAAAATCTAATTTTTTTCCATCTATCTTAGTATTTATTTTTTCTATGTGTTATTTAGCTTAGAAAGTAGACCCAAGATCTTGATTATTTCTCCTTTCACTTTAGAGTCATTTTCATTCATATTTCTCAAGTGTTTGCATTTTGTATATGTTCAGATGTTGGCGTGTCAAAGAAATGCACACATCCCTTTTTTTGCACTGATTACTTTTTATTTTAGCAATATGAAAAAAAATCTCAGTATATTCATAGTATGCCATTTTGTTCAAAATTCATACAGAGCTGTATTAATTTGTACATAGCTGTATTAACATGTCTTGTCACCCTCAGAGTAGATGAAGAGATCTCAGAAATATTCTGACCATATCACCTGAGTTGCTAATGCCATAATAAAATACAAATTTAAAAAGGAAGTATGTATGGGTTTTATTTCAATTTATTTTCTTACTTCTTGGGTAGCCATCACAGAAACTACACAAGCTAACCTGAGGAATGAGTTAGGATTTAATCTACTGCGTCATTAGTTCCTAACTCCTCTACTGTGGTGAAACATAGCTATGTCTCAGATGCACAAGTTCAGTCTGTGTCTGAGTTTTATCCAAATTTGAGCAAAATTAAAGGGATATGTGACAGACTTGCATATAGCTTCACCACTGATGCTCCTCTTCTCTAGCATAAAAATTTGCAGGTGTGGATGTGCCAGGAGTCATCCTGGCAGGTGACTCTGGCCAGGATCTAAGCAAACCTACTGATAGGACAGTAGAGCTATAACTATATTTTTAGGTGATGGAATATTTCAGGAATTCTGCCTGTCCACTGTCTTAGAAACTGGAGTGCTCTTTGAAGCAAGGATACTCATCTTACAGGCTGAGGTCCTCAGGCACCTTGCTAGAGGAATTAATCTGATCTACCATCTACTTCCAAAGGACTTTTTCCACGAAGACGTTGAGCTCTGATGTAGGACATGCAGCAGATAGCAGTGGCACCAACCTTCTCCTGATCACTGTCTGTCCTGGATCATCTCTCCCTCCCTTTGTATTGTTATACATGCACAGAGCCAATGAAATGCTTATGAATTGTGCCATCACTCACTGAAGAGACTAAATTCCTTTGACTACACTGAATTTGCACAAGCAGGCACAGAAGTGGAGGCATATGTGTAATCATGAGAAAAGGACTTGGGAATAAGTCCCAGAAGGACAAGTGTGTGCCATTGATCTCCATTACCGTATAATTACATTGCAGTTTCACTGTGGTTCTATTATTATTTTTAGATATTTACCTTGTCAGTGATTCACATAACCATAAGGATGAAATAAACCCCAATTGTAATTTCTCTTTCCACCTAACAATTAACAGAAACAGGTTTCCCAGAGAGGATGTAGAATCTTCTTCCTTGGAGATATTCAAAAGCTGTCTGGACATATTCCTGGGTAATACGCTCTAGGTGACGCTGCTTGAACAAGGGGGTTGGACTAGATGATCTCCAGAGGTCCTTTCCAACCTCAACCATTCTGTGATTCTCTGATTCTGTGAATTAATATACAGGTATTTTGACATTCTGGTGCATTAGCTACATGATAACATAGCTATTTTTTTTCTCAGTTGCTATTTCTGATATAACAAACTGCCAAGTAGTGCAGTCACAGACTTTGTGTCTGGATTTATTTATTTCCTCATCAGTCCAGGTTCTTACTTTATGTACTTTAATTTGTTTTGTAGTTAGCTGGGTCTCTAAACATATATAAACAACATGCAAAATAAGAAGTCAGAATTCTGCCTTAGTCTTTGTTGCTTGTTCAGAAGAGAATGAAATGAGAAAATGACAATTTGTAAAACTGTAGCCTCTTTCTGGATTTAACTCAGAAGCATGTTGAAACAGGATGTAGCAACTATTTAGAACTATAAATAAGAAGGCTAATTCCCAGTAGTTCTTACATCCTAATTCCTCGGCAATTAGTGTGTATTATGAAATGTATTTAGTTAAAAGGAACAAAACCCAACCTCTAGCCAAACCCTCCTCTAGCAAAAGAGAAGAAGCACCTAAAAATTAACCTTTAAAAAAAGAAGCAGGTTTAGGATTCAGATACCATTAGGCTAATGCTTTCACGGAAACAGAATTATGAGCCAAATAATTTCTCATTTTGTCCTCACTCTTGTAATCTGTGCAGGGTTAGCTACCAAAAGGAAATACCAGTCTGCTGAGACAATGAAACGGAGGACAGCCTATGTGAATACTGTGGATACTTCAAGATATTCCCTACAATTATGTCCCTGCTGATACATTGTCCATCTTCCAGTGATTCTTCTCACTCTGAAATGAAACTGTCAAATCCATAATGAGCCGAAGGAGCATTGGGCTTCTTGAATGATGAAAAAGGTATCTTTATTTTTCTTTTTTCACTTTTTCCTCTCCAGCATGGGGAAATGCCATCCTCTGTGTGCCTGAATTACCCACATATCCTGAGTTTACCCTGAAAACTCATTGTTAGGGCGGCAGATGGCTGGGGACCTTCAACTGCCTGGTATGAGAGTTTTATGAGAGTTTTATGAAAGGCCAGACATGGCCAGAACTCTAAGGGATAAATGTAATCACATTAAAAGAATAACAGTATTTGAAAACAGAGGAGGAAGATCCTGTATAAGCCTAGGTACATTGGGATGGAAACAACAAAAAATATATGGATTCTCTGAAACTGGTTAGTGTAACAATATGGGAAAATGGAGGGGGGGGGGAGTATCTGCATTAAAGTGATCTAAAAAATTAGAATTACCAAAAACTGTAGCTTAATTTTATTTTTTAAGCTATGTTGATTTAATAATAATAAAAATAAATAAATAGTGAAAAGAGAAGGAAAGAAAAAGATATATGGGATTTAAAATGGATTTTTTTTCCTGGTATTTTATTCAAAGGCAGTTTCCTTTTAATTTAATTGCATTTTGAAATCTAAAACTTTGCTAATAATTCAATATCCATATTCAAGCTACACGGTTCACCTTGTATTGGGAAAAGGTGAATTTTAAATCAAGTCGTGTATTGTAAAATATCCTCATTTGTTTAATGTGTTTTTATCTCTTATGATCGTATCATCCCTGATTCAATTAACTCAATGGTGACTCCTGGGTTTTCTTCAGATTTACTGCAGTAGGGTTTTTCTTTCTGGCATATCTGATATGCAGAGGAGTTACCTCCTGTCATTTCATTCAGAGACGGATGGAAATGCTAATTTTCTAGGGAGGAAATCTTTGTCTGCAGTTTTATTAGTAATATGACTCCAAATTATCTTACAGGTGTTTTTCACTGGTGAGGTTAGGCTCCATCTCAATCTGATAAGGCATTCCTAATAAGGGGAAATTAGGCCAGTACTCACCGAAAGAATAAAGTGCCATATGTCTTGACTTTTCATAGTGATCATTAAAACCCAGGAGGGTATGTATGCAGTGGGTTCAGTTCTGAGGAAAACAAAGAAAGTCTTCATGAAGCAGTTGTAGTTTTCTAACAAACAGCTAATTAGGATCAAGATATTAGGTACTCTGCTTAATATAGCAAGAGAAAGAATATGTCTGTGAGCAGAGGACTCTGCAAACTGATCTTTCATCTTCAATCTTGATAGTCTATTTTTACGCATGAGCATAGCCAAACAGGATCTGAGTTGATATATTCAGAAATCTTTGTAAATTAGTGAGAAAAGTGAATTATACCTCCACGCCATTTAATAATATCCCTGTGTTGGTGAACATTTTAAAAAGAATTCTTTTGTGTATATATATATGTGTGTGTGCGTGTGGATTAAAATCTTTCGAAAGTCATAGACCTTATTTATGAACATTTGCTCGGGTTTTTGCTCACTTTTGAAGTACTTTTATTTTGTAACACTCTTAGGAGCTAAAGACCTGGTAATCCAAATAGTTAGTATTAACTTCACTCTGTGAACTAATCTGAGGTGAACTGTGGTTTCAATCACCTGAAGAAACTGTGATCTTTTCTCAGAAACCAAACCCTAGTCTTTTTTGACGTAGTGCAATAAAATAGTGAAGCCTTTAGAAAGTGACATTGCCATATTGTAGATGCCATTTCATACATGTTAAATGTTTGAGCTAACTGGTATTCAAACAATATTGGCCTACAAAAAGCGCAGAAGTCTTACTGCTGTTACTGAAAGGAATCATTTTGGCTTAAGTAACACTGGATTATATTTCTGGAGCCAAGATTCTCATCATCACAAATGTATGAAACTTAGAAGAAAACTAGGATTTTTGGGGTTATATTGACACTTTGACTGACAGTAAAAACTCTTAGGGTGGATTAAGACCAATTTTAAAGTTTCTTATTCTTAGATTAATTTTGATTTAATACGTCTTTAAAATCTGAGAGAGAAAAGTATTCCAAAATTGACTGGGAAACTCTGTTAAAAATTAGGGCAGCCTCCAAAGTGTTTATGGAGTAAATACGAAGCACTCTGACTCATGTTCTCTAAGCTTTTTGAGAAAATTTCCCCTGGGAAACTACATTTCACTATTTTAAGCATTCCAACTTCTATGTGACAAACGGTTTAGGGCCTGTAAGCCGTTCATTGATAATTACAATTTAATTATTAAGGAATAAAATATCTCATTTGCATCTTATATTTTTATAATAGTGGAGTTATAAAATATAAAGGCATTTGCAGTATGGTTAAAGATGTAAAATTTTCTACCAGGTTTTAGTGATGGATAGATGTGCGAGCAGATACTGCTGCCCCTTAGTGGCCTATCTATGAAACAGAGAATCCTCACTGCCAAGTGACTTTCTGCCTTATCATAACTAGCGTTTAGCCAATGTGTTACATATATTTGCTACATTTTACAGTTTTATTTTAAATGAATGATTAGAACTGTGATTTCTCAAATGCAATTTGTTTTTGCTCTTTATGTTGATTATTACAAAATGGCGATACATTTCAACCATACAACAATACATAAAGGATTAGACGGAATGTGAAAATATATTTTTGTAGGTATGTTCTATTCCGTTTAGCTCTCTAAAGCAGCAAAAAACAGTACCTTGTGGAAAAAATGTGAATGCAGTTAAATGGAAATACCCTACAACCCTGGGAATATTTGTCCCTTTCAAATTGCAGTGTAGCACAAAGATGGCAAAATGCGCTATAAATATAACTTAAGAAAAAGGTAAACGCAAGCTGCAGAAGTCAGTTACTTTAGTTTTCAGCGGGGGTAGAATTTACTAACAAATGTATTAAAAAAACAAATGTGCTATGGAAAATATGCAGGAAGCTGTTTATAACACAGCTTCTGGAAGACTGAGGGCTAATGCAAGTGCTTAAATTCAGAGCAAATTAATCAAAAGCTTTGGAAAACACAGTAGTTACCTGAGAGAACTATATGTTCGTTAGTTCTTGGGCTTTCTTTCTTTTCGGAAGACCTATTTACCTTCTTAGAAAATAAACTATATTTTTAAAAGAACTACTATGATGCTGTTTATCTTTGATTTACTTTAAGAAAACATTATTCAAAGAGATTAATTGACAAAAAGAGTGGCATTTTCTACTTAGCTATCTAGGTCTATTTAGCTCTAGGAACAAATTAAAATTTCAGTCTATAGCTTCCAGGAAGGTCAAACATCTGACAGTCAGTATCATATGAAAACTTACTGGTTAGAATGAGGTGCCACACAAATATCTTGATTTTAAGAGGTTCTGCATTCTCAGCACCTTTGAAGAATCAGGCAGCTTGCTGAGGTGTTTGACATACCAGTTCTTAATTTTGAATTTGAAAAATTGTTTTTTTTTCTCACATGGGGCGTAAGCCCCTGAACAAGAGTTTAAATATGGATAACGTCAGTCCAGAAAAAGGAAACGAATCAACTGAGAAGTCTGGATTTGACTGTGGAGCTCTGACTGTGGTTCGTTCCTGATATTGTCTTTTGAGGACTTTAGCAACTGCCTTGTTTGTATTTGGTTCAGACATCTACTCATCACCTTTCTGAGACCACATTAAATGTTTCCAGCAAAGAAACAAACAATGCGAAGGTTGCTATATTACAGTACGATACATTGGCAGTTGACAGTCTGGACTGGATTTAACATTGTTTGCTAGTGGGGAGAGGAAATACTAAAGCTTAAAGGAAAATTCACTTTTATACGCTCAATTAGATGAACTTGTAAAGCAAAAAAAATATTTCCGGTGCTGCAGGAACCTGCAGATTCTTGAGAGAAACTGTAGATAAAAACTTGCAGTTCTCTTAAATTTCACAAGCTTCCAGGCTGTGGAAAACTGTGTAATTATTATCTCTTTGTGAATAAAGACCTTTTTCACACTGTCTAGAAAATGACGGTGCTGCAAAGCAGAGTTTATTTACATAATGGAGAATTTCAGCCTGACAATTACAGTGCATAACCTAGCCCAAAGAGGTAAAAAGATGTGGCAGGAGATTTACTGCTTTAAACAGCCATCACTCTGTACGGTTGAAAATTTTATGAACAGTGACAGGTTTACTAAATTCCAAAAGTTGCTTGCAGTAGTACCAAGGCCATCACGCAGAACTCAGCATGTTGCTCTCTGTTCACCCCCTATGGCACATTATTGGATGAACTTTCTCTGACTGTGAGCAATTTTGGCATTTTGGAACATACTGATGTAAGCCCCGGCTTCTGTCATCGATTTGAACTTAATCTGCATGTTGCATCTTTATTGTATTGCCATGATTCATTTAAAAGCAAATGCTTTTGAGCTTGGCTGGCTGGCTTTCACAATAGGGTGGGCAGCCAGAAAAGGAAAACACTTCAGTGCAGGGTTTTTTTGGCTTATGTCTGGAAGGGAAAATGGCTAAAAACATTAGTCTCCCCGCTATTCAGAGTTTTGACTGCTTTAGCTAGAGGGGCTGGATTCATGATCCATTTACTGTTTCCTGTCCAGCATCTACTTGGTGCATTATGTTCCACGTCTCTTTCCATTAGCTGAGCCCTGTATGATGTCAATTGAGAAGAGCAGTAACTGTACGTTATAAAATCCATGTAACGGTATGACAATGGCAGTGTTATAGTGGCCTTTTACTTTGTTCCCATGTACGTTTTATCATTATATTTCATGCCCAAAGCTCAACTGCAGTGAGAGAAAAGGGTTCAGCTATGGCCCAGCTGGAGTTTTAAATTCTTTCCCTGAAACATTACATAGGGGAGTACTTGATACATGGAAAACTCTGATATTCCTCTGAGTTTACCAAATGTAGGACAGTACTCTCAGTAACAGACCTGACAACATCATGGATTCTTCCCTTCGAAAAAAAAATGGCAAAAAAAATCTTACTGCAGTAGAAATTATATATTGTCAGAATATGCTTTTCTTTATCTCGTGTCACAGGGAAAGCATTTCTGGTGATGG